GTTGACTCCGAAATGGCCGGCGAGTCGTGAATCATGATACTCGCCGAGGAGGCGAGTCTAAAGACGACGGTCGCGTGGGACACACAATAAGTCCTTGCCTCTCGAGTGGAGGAGCAAGTATCCGTCAGCAATGCGATAGTGGCTGGCCGGCGGGTGATCCGAAGATAGTTGTGCGTACAGCGTGGCGAAGTCCGGATCAGACTCATATGCCCGGATGAAGTGTCGCTGAAGCTCCTCGTCGAATGCGAAGGCATGATGTGTCATAGCGCAAAGATCTGGTCTTCGCGAGAGTGCATCTGCTTCACGATTTGAGAGGCCGGGTAGATGTTTCGGTGTGAAGTCAAACTGGTCGATGAAGTACATCCATCGTCCGATCGTGCTGCTCACCGTATCCTGCGTCTTGTAGTAGGTCAATGGATTGTTGTCTGTGACCCATGTGAACCTACGACGCCCAAGGAGGAAGTGCCGCCATCGCTTGAGAGCCATGACGAACGCGAGTAGCTCCTTCTTCCTTGCATCATCAAGCGAGTTGATGGGAGGCAAATTGTGGCTGAAATACTCCACAGGGTGCCAGTCGTCGCCGTCGTGCTGTTCCAAGACTGCCCCAATGCCATAGCTGGAAGCGTCCGTAGTCACTCTCGTCGGCAAGGTGGGGTCATAGATGTTAAGGACGGGTGCCATGAGCATAGCCGTCTTAAGTGCTTGGAATGACCGGCGTGCGTCGTCATCGCATACGAATGGTACCTTTGGCGACTGTAACCTCGTCATAGGTGCAGCAATCCTGGAGTATCCGGTGATGAATCGCTGATAGTAGCCCGCCAATCCCATGAATGAACGAACGTCCGTGGTGTTGGTGGGCTCGGGCCATACTCGTAGGGCCTCGATCTTGTCCGCGAGCGGACGGATGCCTTGCGGCGTCACATAATGTCCCAAGTACTCCAGCTCCTGCCGTGCGAACTCGCACTTGTCGCGGTTTGCTTTGTACTTGGCCTGTCGTAGCCGTTCCAAAACGGTGCGCAGGTGTTCCACATGCTCCTCCAAACTCCGGCTGTACACCAGGATGTCGTTGAGATAGATAAGTACGTATCGATACAGCATGTGTCGGAACTCCGTTGTCATAGCCGCTTGGAAAGTGGCCGGGGCATTCGTAAGGCCAAATGGCATGACCAGCCATTCGAAATGCCCATATCGCATCTTAAACGCGGTTTTGTAACGGTCCTCCTTGCGAATCTCGAGTTGGTGATATCCCGACTTGAGATCGAGCTTGGAGAAGAACTTGGCGCCGCCCAGTCGCTCAAGAAGATCGTCGATGCGTGGGAGAGGGCCGGCGTTTCTGATCGTCTGTGCGTTGAGCTTGCGATAATCGATGCACAACCGCAAATCCTTGTTCTTCTTCCGGACGAAGAGAACAGGAGCACCGTATGGCAATGAGCTAGGCCGAATCCAGCCTTTCTCCAGAAGGTCGTCGAGTTGTGCCCGAAGCACACTTGACTCTTCCTCGCTCATTCGGTAGATGCAACCGCGCGGAGGTACGGCCCCGTCCTCGAGGATGATCTCGTGGCGGATGGGTTGATCCGGTACTACTCCGTGCGGGCCTTCGAACACGTCGCTGTAGGCCGAGAAGTTCGGTGATGCGTGGATCCGAAGGTGAGTCCGTCGATGAAGCGTCATGGGGCGGGAGGGCGTGGAGAAAACACACCCCCATCTCCTCGATGTCGTCTCTGATGATGGAAGCTCACATGCTTGCGGCGGATACCACGTGGCAGCTGATCGAAGGATGAGGAAGAGGTACCGTGCATGAAACTAATACTCCGTTCCGGTCACGAACGTGAACGGTGCGGTTGAAGAAGTTCACCGGGTGATCCTTGCTTCGCAGCCATGACAT